TCTTGTGAGCTGGCTTTGCTGCGTGCCTATTCAGAACACAAACGGTCAACCATAGAAACGCAGCCGCAGCTACGGCACTAGCTACCGGAACGGTGTCACGACGTAATCTCACTGCAGTACAGGCCGGATGCTGGACTCCTTGGGTGCTCTGGATCGCTGCGTATCTGTTGAATGGACACTTTTTACGTCTCCTATCGTTCCCGCGGTCGTCTGTACCTCGTCATTGTGCTGTATATCGTATTTCCCGCTTCATTCGCTGCGGTTGTGTTTTAAACGAGTATTGATGCTACAGTGTGCTTCATGAGATGTAGGTACACTATTTTAATGCATCCCCAGGAACTCGGCACTCAATCCTCAGTACTCAGTACTTGTCCATGCTCGTGACTTTCTTGAACGAACGCTGCACCTACTTGAGTCAGGCGTTCTCGCTATTATCGTTAGCATGCATATCTCCCTGGTCCTATCATATGTTGCTCCGAAATGGTCGGCCCCTCGTATGTGGAAGTTTCCCCATTGAATGGATTTCCACCGAATCCCCACTGGTCTGGCCGACAGCGCCATAGTAGACACGCCAAACATCTTTTAGCGCCGACGAAGACGTCCGGCTTTGCTGGACGAGAAGGATGCGTCTTGCGCGGGATGTGACCTGGATAGGTCCGCATTTCCGAGTCTGATCTCCACTCTCAAGGCAACCCTGGCGAAGAACAGTCTGTCATACGATAGGTAGACATTTCGGGGGAATCGCCTGGGGCCCCTGCTAGCTTTGGCGGCACTCTTCCGGGAAACCATTGCATGCCGTTCTGCGCTTTCGTCTTTGAATTTGCCATATCGCCAGTGGGTCCATCTTGCATCTTGCCCAGGTGAGGAACATAGCAAGTTGCTTCTGAAGTGGGTCGATAGCAGAGGGAGGAACTCTTCCGGCTGTCTTTCACTGGCGTGTCACTAGTAGCACGTGCCTTCTGTCTTATTCCAAAGCGATTTGATCGAGCGGCTGATAAGCTCGACCACGGGGAGGGCATTCCGCCAGGTCTTTTTGCTTGCATCAGCATCTATAATATCCGCTAGATCATGAATAACTCCCGATGCCTGCCTTTTGCCTGACCTCCTTGTATGTATTATTGATTATCTGTCCGCGCCACCCTCACAGAACTGAACGTCGTGGAATGCTTTGATTAAGACTAGTACCCAGTAGCTGAAAATCTTGCATAACGAGGATATCGACTGATATATCGCTGTCAGTGCAGTTTGTAGTAATTCTGGGACCGGCGGAGATACAGAGACCTCGTGCCTCGTGGTTATCATGAGTTCCGGATGGCTCGGACTGAGAGCTGAAATTGAGTCCATGGAATACAGGAAGTGACAGCGTTGCCAGTACTAGATAGATGGGAAGTTGCAAGGTAACTGATTTCCGTGGGAGACTGGGGGATGCTGACACCGGACGGCGACTATCGAACTAAAGCTACTGACAGGAATACAACTCCGGTCGAATCCAACCACAGTCTGCGACAGACTTGTCAAGTCCAGATTGTCCATAACCAAAACTTTTTGATAAACACCCTTCCGGTGGCGGCTAGAGTCAGAGGTCCTTTGCCTGTGGCTGTGCCGATAGATTGCTAGCCCCTGTAAAAGTTTCAGCCTGAGGGAGTTATGTAGGAGCGTCAATCAAAGACTATTTCAATATCCTGTGTTCCGTAGTGATCGTCAGGTAAATAAATATACCAAACACCCTTTCCGGGCCGCAGTATACATGAACACAAGACCTCTCGACTTTTATCCCCGCATGTTGTCCTCCGATCAGTATGAATACATGCGTCACTGCCGCAAAATGTACTTATTCAGAATAAGAACACAAGTAAACCCGCAGCAGTTCCCGCAGTCAACCCCAGTCCTAGCACCGCCTCTGTTCGCCCTGCAGCGCTAGAAGTTGTTGTGGCTTGTGCGCTCGTCGTGCTTGATGAAGACCCGCTGGACGAAGGAGACGTTACGGTGGGAGCAATTGTGCCGATGGAAGTAGGTATGGAAGTGGGTATGCCACTAGTAGGTACGCCGGTGGGGGTGGTAATGCTGAGGGATGAGAGCAAGCTCTGCACAGATGCTGACTCGGAAGAGAGGAAAGAGGAAAGCGAGCTGGTATCATACGAGCCGGAGGCATAAGTGATGGTAAAACCGTTCGAGTCCGATCTATACGCCAGTTATATATGAGTGTTTTTTGTTTTGAAGGGAAATGGGCATAAAGAGAAGGTCACATACGCTGGGATTCCGGTCACTGTTGTTCCTGCTTGCGCACTAGCGATGAATAAAAGCACAAGGGCGGACGTGAGTTTCATGGTGAAGATGAGAGTACAACAAGACTGTCGTTCGTCAGGAAGGGAGATTATTGAAACTGAGACTACTGTAGTGGTCACTCGTGTCGTGTACTTGTCGTCAAGGACTTTATGATATACGGTAAAAATTCAACTGACCATTGCTGCGTACGCAGCAGGGGAACCTTCTCTTGATATATAAACAAATGATGAGTCACCTTTGCGGCGCAAGCAAGCGCCCATCGTGATGGGACACAGCTAGAACCATTCCATCACTGCGGAAACGAGATTTTAACTTGCCACCTACTAATAAGCGCATCCTCGCAAGCACATCATCCAAGACAGCACAACTATGGAACATCCAAGCCAGTCAACCATGAAGACAGGGTGAATTCTGTAACTTTTTCTACAGGTGAAAAGTTCCTCATTACCAGCTGCCACAACGATCACCTATAGTACACATGGGATGTTTTCGTGACTGTCAGAAAAGTTGGCCTTCTGTTATATATTGTATGCCTCGATACATTTCATTTCCGATGACAATGGCAATGAATTTGCTCCCCCAGGCCGATGCTATACCACAATCAGCTCCAAAGATGACAGGTGCTCCTAGAATACCTGGCGACTATGCACTGCTAGAGGTTAATGCAATGTGATCCCCATTTATCATTTTATTATTCAATGCTTTGACAAATATGCTGCGCACTCGTCAGTTCGCTCAGATCTTTCCATCGCGGCATGTTAATGCACTCATCTGCCGAAGATCGTTCAACCTTGCTTGGGCCCCAAAAGCATGCCGTCGAGAGCTGAAGAAAGCCTGCCTACTGGTTGGTAGATAAAAGAAAAACGTGCGTTGTACACAAATTTTTGACATTAAGACGAGGGGGGCGAGGTAGAATGCAGAAGTTGTCTTGAGCCGTGCGTCGAGGTGACGGAATAAAGAACACACAGAACTAGTGCATGAACCCCGCTATTCCCAAATTAGTGGGTCTCCGTGACAAGCGTTGGAACGGCGTGTTCCCGTTTGATCGTCGGATCAACTTGAGATGTCGATACTGGTCTTGATCAGGGAACATATAAAAAGGCATAAGGAAAACGTACGAGATGTCGCACCAGCAGAAATAGTCTCGAAGACAACAGGCTCTCGGTGAAGGAGACTCCATGAAATCTCTAGGTGTACCTGTTCAGGACTCCGACACACCTTCCTCTGAACATGGGGACCTGGATCCGGGAAAATAAAATTATTGAGGGCAAAGGCTATGGAGGTGTCATAGAGTTACGTTGTACAAAAGGGGGATTCCAAAATAGATTGCGCGAATTGGAGGACACGAGCAGCTCAGTGATGTCCTTGTTTGCATCGAGGGGTGTCCTAGCGAGGGAGGTATTCGTGCTCGTCTCAATAAATTCACTCGCTGATAACTGTGCCCAATCGCTGTATATCGACAGGGTAGTTGGTAAGGTGTGAATTATCGTGCTTGTCGGTGTCGTTGGCAGCCTTATCCTCCTACTTTCAAGAATTCTGCTAGAAGGCGAAGATCGTCTGTACCAGCGATGCAACTCAAGTATCAAAGGCACGAGTGCAGATGCCGTACTTGGACATTTGGAAATGTGATAATTCATCTCGTCGTTTGAACTTCAGGCCTCCTTTTGAGCACTAAACGTCGAGAATGCTGAGACGGCAGCGTGACTGACAGCCTATTCCAGAAGTTAACGTGCTGAGAGGTTGCCACCGGAAGATCGATTTGGGAGGAATTTTTTGTTCGGTACGGTTTCTCCGAGTACCATGACCGAGGGCGTTCCGTTGGTTCTTTTCTCTTGCCTCAGCATCCGCAATATTTGTTAGACCATGGATTTTGTCATAGATTATCTGTGCACACCACCATTACAGAACTGAACATCTCGCATCATGAGGATATCGACTGATATATCGCCGTCAATGCAGCTTATAGTAATTCTGGGACCGGCGGAGGTACAGAGAGCTCGTACCTCGTGATGATCATGAGTTCCGGATGGCTCGTACTAAGAGCTGAGATAGAGTGCATGGAAGGCACAAAAGTGGCGGCGCTGCCAGTTAAATATAGACGAGAAGCGTTAATGTAGAGAATTGCAAAGTGACTTACTTCTGTAGAGGCTGGCAGCCGCCGACGGCGGTTGTCGAGCTGAGGCTGCTGACAGGAATACAACTCCAGTCGAATCCAACCATGGGCCAGAGTCCGACATACTGTCCATAACCAACACTTTTCGATAGACACCTTTCCGGTGGCGGCTAGAGTACTCAGGCCTTTGCCTGTGGCTGTGCCGACAGACCGAAACAACTTGCTGGCCCCTGTAAAGCAGCCTGAGGGAGTTATGTAGGCACGTCAATCAAAACCTATTTCAATAGCCTAGGGTGATCCGTAGTCATCGTCGGATAAATACATATACCAAACACCCTTTCCGGGCCGCAGTATACATGGACGTAAGACATCTAGACTTTTACCCCTGGACGTTGTTCTCCGATTAGTATGAATAAGTACATACGTCACCATCGTAAAACGTACTTATTTAGAAAAAGAACCCAAGTAAGCCCGCAGCAGCTCCCGCACCCAACCCCAATCCCAACCCCACTTCTGTTCGTCCTGCAGCGCTAGAGGTTGTCGTAGCTGGTGCGCTCGTCGTACTCGATGGAGACCCGCTGGACGAAGGAGACGTCGGCGTTACGGTGGGAGAAATTGTGCTGATGGAAGTAGGTATGGAAGTAAATGTATCACTAGGGTTGACAGTGCTAAGGGATGAAAACACGCTCTGCAGAGATGCTGATTGGGAAGAGAAGAGAGAGGAAAGCGTGGAACCTGATCTATATGTTGGTTGCAACTTGTACGTGAGTATTTTTGTTGTGATTTGGTTTGAAAGGAGGTAGGCATAAAGAAAAAGTCACATACCCTGGGACTCCGCTGGGTAGGATCAAGGTTGAATGCGTTGTTGCTGCTTGAGCACTAGCGATGAACGAGAGCACAAGGGCGGACGTGAGTTTCATGGTGAAGATGAAAGTACAACGAGACTGTTGTTCGTCAGAGAGGGAGATTATTGAAACTGAGACTAGTAGTCACTCGCGTGTCGTGTACTTGTCGCAGATCCAGGCTCGAGAGGCAGCTCACAGCGAGGACTTTATACTTTTACGGTAAAAACTCAACCGACCATTGCTGTGCACGCAACAAAGGAATCCCTTGATATATGAACAAATTATGTCACCTTTACGGCGCAAGCAAGCGCTACCGTGATGGCTCTTGTTGAACTAGAACCATTCCATCAGTGCGGAAGCGAAATCTTAACTTACTCAAGCCTTGATGAGCACATCCTCGCAAGCATATCGTCCAAGATGGTGCAACTATGGAACCTCGAACTATCAGAACACTACTTCACCATAAGGACAGGATGAATTTCGTAACTTTCTCTACAGCCTGAGTGGAAAGTTCCTCGTCACTGGCTGCCACGACAATCACCTCCACCATGAGATGTGCCGGAATAAAGAACGTACAGAACTAGTGTATGAACTCCGCTATGCTTAAATCCATGACAAGAATCGGAACGGCGTGTTCCCGTTTGATCGTCGCATCAATTTGAGATATTGATACTAATCTTGATCGAGGAATATACAAGGAAAACGTACGAGATGTCGCACCAGCAGAAAGAGTCTCATGATGCATTCCCGGTGAAGGATACTCCATGAAAACCTTAGGTATACCTGTTCAGGATACCTTCCTCTGAACATGGGGACCTAGAGCTAGGGGAAAAACTATTAGGAGGGTAAAGGCGAGGAAGGTGTGATGGAGTTACGTTGTACAAAAGGCGACTCCAAAGTAGATTGCCCGAATTGGAGGACGCAAGCAATTCGGTAATGTCCTTGTTTGCATCGAGGGACGTCCGAGTGAATCCATTCACTGATAACTATGTCCAATCGCTGGGTATCGATAAGGTGATTGCCAAGGTGTAGTTTATCGTACTTGTCGGTGTCATTGGCAGCCTTGTCCTCTTACTTTCAGGAATTCTGCTAAAAGATGAAGAAGCATCTGCACCAGCGATGCAACCCGAGTATCAAAAACACGGGTGCAGATGCCGTACTTGGAGATTTGGAGGTGAGATGATTCGTCTCATCGTTTGAACCTCAAACCTTCTTTGAGTACTAGTCGTCGAGAATACTGAGGCGGCAGCGTCGTTGACAGCGCATTTCACAGGTCAACGTACTGAAGGGGGTGCTATCGGAAGACGGTTTTGGGAAGAAGACCGTTGAGTGTGTTTGTTCGGCACGGCACAGATACGTTTCTCCGAGCACCTAGACGTAGATCTGGAAGAGAAGGGAAATGACTAATTGGGCGAAGACTAGAAAGATGTGACCAGGATGGCCAGATTTGCAAATTATGTAGTGTGGCGACAAAGGTGAAAAACTCAGGTTGGCCGTTGAGAACAAGGGCCGTTGAGAGAAGCATCATGGATCGAGTTGGACTCTCAAGTGAAATGCAGTGCGAGGGAATAGATACGAAGACTGCAGAACCATATTGGCCCAGGCAGGCTTGTGGGATTGAGGGACCACGATAGTGAGGGGTCAATGCAGATGAAGGAAGTGTGAATATTGTCCAAAAATAGCCTTGAGCGCTTAACCTGCACAGACTAATTAGTGTTGAAGCTGTGAGGCAAACACCAGGATGAAAAGGAAGATGCGCCTCTAGAAGACATAGACGACGACCTCTCTCCTGACTTGAATTCTCATTGAACGAAACACCCACTCTGTCGTAGCCCTTGTCCGGCATTCGTCTTTCTGTGTACGAGTCAAGTACATCTGGATTCCGAGTAAGTAACAATTTCGTACAGCAACTGATGGTAAGAGCTGAAATTAGAGCGCACTCGTGAAATGAATCCCGAAACCAAAATCATGGGGCATCCAGCGCCTGCGAAGCACAATAACTTACCGACAATGCCTGACCGAAGAATCAAAGTAAAGGACGGCATCGGTCACATCTTACACCTGCCTGATAGACAGCGGATGATCACCCATTCATGGAATGGGTTATTTCGAGTCTGGGACTTGGAGAGGGGCACGCAGGTTGGGGAGGAATGGGAAGAAAAAGATGAAGGAGTGTACGCCATAGCATTGTCGCCGGATGGTAAGACAGCAGCAAGCGGGAGTGAGGATGGCACAGTGAGATTATAGAACATCAAGACAGGCAAGGTCATCAAAGAATGGACGGGGC